TGCAAGGGGCAATTTTCTTGTCACGTCTTCCCTTTTCAATCACTTCTTTATCCACCAACTTGTCAACCATGCACAACAAAACATCAACCTCCTCTCATCCTCACAGTAAGCCTATGGGAATTGGCCTGTGGCCTACTTGGGAGCGATAACCAGCCAGCATTGGACAACAAAACATCAACCTCCTCTCATCCTCACAGTAAGCCTCTGGGGATCGGTCCGTGGCCTACTTGGGAGCGATAACCAGCCAGCACTGGACGTCCGCAGTCAGCTTGAGCCGGCACTATTTCCAAACAATTCCGCCAAATCCCTCTTTTGCTCCAGTGCGGACTGTCAATAACTGTCAGCCAACCTTGGAGGTCAGCATTCAGCTTGAAACAGCGCTACGCCGAAACCTTTCTACCGGTGGGTGGCAAGCACCAGACTGCTGCCAGACTACCCCTCGCCTGGTATATGGGTGCAGTTCACAGAGGCCATGCAAGGCAGTGGTGGCTCAATGGCCAAAGCACAAGCCCTACAACAGATCCTATGAGATGGTCATGCTCCTGGCATCTTCGATGAACTCCTCGGAACAGCCAGCGATTGGACGTGCAGGTCACTGCATTCGAGGCAAGCTTTCAATCTAGAGATATACAGGAATAATGACCATGCGTTATTTTTGGGGGAAGACACTAGTTTGGACCATCACCTATTGCCTATTCTAGACAGTCACAGTCAGGTGTGTTGGGCCCCGCTTACCAATGACTGGGGCCACTGCAAAAGAGCTTCGCTAAAATAAAGATCTCACTGATTCCCACACGGCCAAGTAGCCTGGCTCTGACTTCGAGGCAGCACAGATGAGAACTCCAGTACTTCCCATTCCAGGAAGCACAACCATTCCCTTATAAAGGGTTGAAATGCTGCTAGACAGATGCCTACATGTACTGTAGAGCAGCACGAACACATTCTGACAAGATGGCCACCATTCACAAAAAAATGGAGATATCAACCACACCAGAGACACAGAAGTAGTGCAAGCATTGAAAGGCACAACCAGGAGCCCAGCCCTGGCATCTGCCACAACGTAGATATTCATGATATCCATGTTTTCTTCCTACTAGCTGAAACCCGCAAGCCCACATGGAGCCCACATGCCAGAGAAGCAAGGGAGTGGTTAGAGAAAGATCATCGTGCTTGATGTTACTTCACAGAATTAATACGAACCAAAAATAGTTCTTTAAGAAATAAGGCGAGTGGGAGGGCCTCAACAAGTCCACAGCAAAGCACCCACAAAAGAAGGGTTGGGATGCAGGGGTGCCTTAAAAGAGGGGAGGGGGCACCTCTGATTACTCTAGACCACGGAACTCCTCCCCTTCCAGAACTAGTGGACTAAGCCGATAAGTGACGCTCCGACCTTTCTATCTACTTGGTAACTAGTAAGTTTGGAACAAACCATGCACTTACTCAGCACAACATGTGTACTGGCAAGATGGTTTAAACCACCAGTACTTCCTAAAGTTGTGCCCGTAAACGCTACATGGTTTTAGGAAACGTACGGGTCACTACACGAGCGCCCAGATTCATCCAACTAGAAACGTTTCTACTCTATTTTTTTCCGCGGCCGATAGCTGGGCCAAGTACTGGTGGTTTAAGTGTGTAGGCACAAACCATAACTTCGTACAACTTACTCCTTTGACCAGGTAAGTTGGGATCAAGGTGAAGCGATTGGGACAAACGAAAATTCAATTGGACAATCATCAAACCGAATTGGTCAGTTCAATTTTCCTATTTAGTACATGATCGGACCCGATTTGGACAGCCGACATAGGTTCGGAGACGTATTGAGCATTTTGGACATTCAGATTTAGGTTGGGAGAAACGATGAGCATTTTGGACATACTGGATATAGGTTGGGATAAATGATTACCATTTTGGACAAAACGATTTAACAGTTTGGACGCATGACGGAGTTAGGCAGATTGATTTAACAAATTAGTATTGCCAATACCACATTTAGTTCAACAGTCAACCGATTTGAGATTCTGCGCACACCATCGGGACCAACAAAGATATCAATTTAGTGGAATCGATTTTGCATGTTAGTCACATGCGTCTGAATCACGGGCCTGCAGCTCCCGTAAACTATCGACCGAGGTGGACGTGCGCAGCACACACGTGAGTGACGCACGATTTTCTGTGGGGCCCACCAATTTATGCACTCGTCAGTCTAAATCGTTCGGTCCATTGACGAAAGGCACAGTGGGTCTGTCCTAGTTTCTAGAATACCTGTCCATATCGATTCACAAGGTGTCCAATTCTAATCGACGGTTCCAAGAAGCTTCTACAAAAATCAAAAACATTTGGACTACATGCCCGATTCCAATCTACCGGTCCAAGAAGCTTCCACCGAATTCAAAATCGGTTCACTGTTTCTCTAACTTAGGCGCGTTCACCTAATTTGATAAAAAGAAAATCCAATACGGTATTGTTTTTGGCGAGAACCCGGTAGGGCCTGCCCATTTCGGTTCACGAGATTTCCAAATAGCGGCAGTATGCATCTAACTTACCTGGTCAAAGGAGTAAAAGTTTGAACTTTGCAGTTCAATTCAGAACGTCAGAGTCCTTGGACTGGCAGCACTGTCAGTGCTCTCTCTCTCTCTCTCTCTCTCTCTCTCTCTCTCTCTCTCTCTCTCTCTCTCACACACACACACACACACACACACACACACACNGTGTGGGTGAGTGATAGTCTACTTTGATTTTGGTTAAGGTAGATTATCATTTACAGTGTAATCAGTGAGGGGATTCTGCAGACTGTTGAGGGTTCAGCCTCCTGATGAGTCGGTGAAACTCCGACGAAACAGTTTGTCACGGCCCCTCGTTTGTTGTCCTCATATATATATCGTCACAAACAGAACTGCCCGGTAAACCGGTAAACCGTAGGCAGAGAGAGAGAAGAGGACAACAAACGAGGGGCTGTGGCAAATATATAGATATATATATATATATATCGTCACAAATAGAACTGCCCGGTAAACATATATCGTCAAATAGAATATATATATTATCACATAAATATCAGAGCGCAAATGCGAAAAAAAGAAAAACAGGAAAAAATGAATTCAGTATATAAATCGTCAAATAGAACTGCCCGGTAAACCGTAGGCAGAGAGGGAGAAGAGGACAACAAACGAGGGGGAGTTACAAGGAAGAAGATACAAAAAAACGAATTCATTCTTTTTTTTCTTTTTTTCGCTTTTGCGCTCTCATATTCATGTGATGATATATATATTGTCACACTGTGAATCAGAGCGCGAAGGCGAAAAAAACAAAACAGAAAAAGGAAAGAAGGTTGGAAAGCTCCACCTGTTCATCACCTCTTACGTACAAGGCCGGCCACGTGGATGATGGTTATCTATCTATCTATCTACCTATCTATCTATCTATCTATTCTGCAGACTGTTGAGGGTTCAGCCTCCTGATGAGTCAGTGGAACTCCGACGAAACAGTTTGTCACAGCCCCTCGTTTGTTGTCCTCTTCTCCCTGTCTGCCTACGGTTTACCGTAGGCAGCTCTGTTTGACGATACATCCACGTGGGCGGCCTTGTACGCAAGAGGTTCTGAACAGGGGGAGTTATAAGCAAGAAGATAAAAAACTGAATTCATTTTTTCTGTTTTTCTTCCTTTTTTTCTTTCTTTTTTTCGCATTTGCGCTCTGATATTGTTGTGACAATATACATATATATAGAGAGAGAGAGAGGGAGAGAGGAGAAGAGGACAACAAACTAGGGGCTGTGACAAACTGTTTCGTCGGAGTTTCACCTACCTACTCATCAGGACGTATATATATATATACGAAGCTAGAAGGCCTCCAGCCGGCGCCGGATGCGGGAGGATATGTAGTGTAGGAGAAGCAGTCAAGTTACTAAGAGAACTAAATGCCTTTGCCATTTTTATAAGTACGATATAATGTAATATTGTTTGAAAAAAAAAAAAAAAAAACATTAGGGTGACCGCGGGGAAAGGCGTGAGGGCATGGAATTGGATATTCATGGGGCAATGATGCTTTCACAAAGGGGCGCTATTAATACTGTAAAGAGGTTAAACAAGGATAATTTGGGAAGATTAGTTGAGGGTGGCAGGAGTGGATTGAAGAGCGAGCGCCATAGCTTCCTACATAAGCAGGGCATATAGTGCGTCGACATCCGTTGAAAAAGGATTGGAACGATACACAGAAGATTAGCCTGGCCCCCGCGCAAAGACGACAACATATATCGAGAAAAAGTCGAATTTAAAATTTTCAACAAAAAATCAAGACAGTAGAAGTACGGTGCACGGAGGCGTTCCAGCAGATCGGAATGTCAAGAACCGGTCCAAATTAAAAAAAAAAAAAAAAAAAAAAAAAAAAAAAAAAGTTGGGTGCTCAAGGAGGGGGTCCATGAACGCGGGCTCAAGGAGAAAGAGAGAAGAATGTATAGGGAGGAGGAGGGTAGAAACGAAGTTTTAAGGAGAAGAAGGGTATGACAGGACGACAGGAGAGGACGGGTATGATTGGAGAGGAGGAAGAAAAGTATATAGAACGCGCAGATGCAAAAGGGTATCAACGGAGGAAGGTATAAGCGGAGGCTCCAGCAGCACGGAAGGGGCGGAGGGAGAGGAGGGAGGGGGGAAGACGAGGAGACGAGAGGTTGAGAGCGGAAGCTCAAGAAGAAGGAACGGCATGCATGAAGGAAGGGGTGGAGGAGGAGGAGAAGGGTGAGGGAGGAGAGGTGTAGAAAAGAAACTCAAGAAGAAGGCTAGTATGAATGGAGGGGGGCAGGGGTGGGGGGAAGGGTAGTGAAGGAGGAAGAGCGTGTGAACGGAGGCTCAGGGAAGAGGAAAGTAAGAACGGTTGGGGGAGAGGAGGAGGAGGAAGAAGTAGGGGAGCGGGAGGAATGGCCTAGACCTTCAACAAGAGGAGTGAATCTGCAAGAAGGGGGGGGTTGGGGGGGATTGGGGGGGGAAGGAGGCATATGACAACTGACCGAAGTTTCGTCGGCAGATCGAGCGTGATGTCCTCCCTGACTACCTCCTCCCGACGACGCGCCGGCTGCGGGGAGAGAGCGCCTCCGCAATGCCGAGTTTGCTGCCGTTGAGTGCGAATGTTTATCCAAAGAAGATGTTGACGACACCGAAAAAGAAGCGCGTCTAGCAGACGACGAAACTGCAGAAGCTGTCTCTTATACACATCTAGATGTGTATAAGAGACAGCACACACACACACACACACACACACACACACTTATGATGTGTACTAAAAGAGGGGCGAAAAAAGTGTGCCACCTTCACTCGAAAACACCTGGTCACTGCAGCTGTTTCTGGCAAGTTCCAGTCCAGATGCAGCTGTAATGACCAGATATGTTACTCTGGTGGTAGTAGTAGGAGCAGGATTAGTACTACAGGCGGGGAATGGCATGACTGTGGAGTGGCCCATTTTTCGGTCCACCTGCTCGCCAAGGGTCCAGACTTGTCATTCATACAAAGGACTGTACCAGCCCGCCTTTATTTTTTTCCAGAGGCCAGTACTGGTCACTTTCGTTTTGTTTTTCTTCTTCTTAAGCCACCATTACTTGGCCCAGCTATCGATGCCGAGCCCGGAATGGCCCTGCGCGCCAATTTTTGCCGAAGCGCCGGGGTACCATTTCAATTTTTTTTTGGCTGGCGCTTCCAGCCATTGTGGTCCGGTACCCCAAAGCCCTAAAGGTGCGGCGCGTTAACAAGAAAGAGCCACAGCCGATAGCTGGGCCAAGTACTGGTGGTTTAAGAACAAAAAGGGCCCACAGCCCGGAGACATCTTTGTCAAACCAACCAGCCCCAGGTAATTCAGAATTAGTCTATTTTATTTATCTGGTTGCATCTGGATTCGAACTCAGCCCCGTATTTTAACAGCTCATGGGTGTACCAACTGAGTTCATCTGTCACTTTTAGGTCCGGCAAGATGCAATTTTGGTTTGTCAGTTTTGCTGCGGATGGACTGGTGCTTTAAACCACCAGTACAGGGACACCTGGGCCGCGGGTCTGACACCTTGAATTCTGGAGGCGCAAAACAAAAACAGGGCTGCCGATCGAATTTATCAACGGCGGGCCTAGTGTTTGGCGTTTCGGCCTCATTTTCTTGTGGCGACAAGTTTTGGACTGCAAGGGTGGGGCCATGTACTTGTCGTTTAAACTACCGCTGCTTCCTACACATCCAACGACAGCGCATTCCCCAAACTAACAACTGCCGCGCCTACATCTAGTGGCAGGGAGCAAAAAGATGGATGCTCCTGCCACCAAAGTTTTGTTTTTGTCATTCAGATTTATTTCGGATTTTTGTGATACTTTTCTCAAATAAATCAGCACTCCAGCTGCGTCCCCTGTTTCTTTTTTTTCTTTTTTTTTTGGAAAAGCTAACCTACATTTTTCCCTCAATATGCCTCCCACTACCTACCTATATACTACTAGCTTAGCAGGGGATGCTGGGGTTATTTGTTGGATTCCAGGCCTCCAGAATTTTTGCCTCAGCATATCCCGTGGGCTATGCGGGGCACGCTACCGAGGCTCGTAACACCTGGCCGGAGCTGGAAAGTGGACAGATGCTTCCACAACCAGCCAGGTGGGACAAGCCGACTTTCTCAGTTGGTGCACCCGAAGCATACCACGCAGAGGGTTGCGGGGAATCGAATGGATGCCGTGGGGAATCGAACCCACGACCTCTTGTGTACCACTTGCGTGCTAAACTAGCTGAGCTCAGACTTCTTTTACAAAAAATTATGAGCATGAAAAATCGTGGATGTTGGCAAGCTCAAGATTTCAGGCACTGCTACCGGTCACTCGTCCCACGGGTAGCATGGCACCCAGCATGGCTATACGGACACGTCAGGAGTAGTGGTGGTGTGATTCTTCAGAAGCTTAGGCTTTCAGCTCTTCACAGGTTTAACAATGGATTTCTTGCTACAGATCAGCGAGTGGGCAACGGTCACCTTAGAAACAGACAAAATAGGTGTCACCCGGACAAACGGGCACCCGGACATACAGGCACAACAGGTGTCGCCTGGACATACATGCAAAATAGGTGCGACGGGCGCATACAGGTGGTCCATGTTCATTCGCATTCGGAAATCTGAAAGGTGAGGAGCGCTTACTTCACAATTTATGTGATGAGCCTTCGAGCCGAGCGCATGGGAAGAATCAGAACATAGGGAGATTTGGATAAGAGAAGGGAAAACGGGAACCGTTTTTGAAGGAAAAATGGGAATGCCAAACCATATCTGTTATTGTGCTAAGCCGATTTCCGTGAAATTAGAAGAACATACGCAAATCAATACAGTAACTGTAATAAAACGAATAGAAACTTCATAAGAAACCATTTGAGCAGCAGATCGTATTGCTCCTAGAAAAGCATATTTGGAATTACTTGACCAACCTGCTGTTATAATACCATGGACACCTTAAGTGCATGTGTGTGTGAGAGCACACTCACACTACCACGTATTTTCGCAAAATTGCAAATTTTATGTAGTTTTTCGGGTCACAAGAGGCACGTATTTTGAGTGTTCACACAAAAGGGCACGTAAATGTCAGCGGTCTGGACAGCCGCGGGCTTACATATTTTGCGGGGACCTCTGGAGGTCCCCGCAAAATATTATTTTTTTCTCCTCTACTGCTTTCTGGAAGCCAAACAAACAAAAAACAAAAGTGCATTGTGCTGTCTGACAGCAGACAACGTATTTTGGCATCTCAAGGCCAGGTCGCGACCCTGTCTTTTCTGCTTTGGGCAACAAACGGGTGACCAGTGTGACCCGCAGGTGCGATATAAATGCAAATCACATACGTAAAATAGGTGGAAGTACGTGCTAGTGTGAGTATGCCCTGAGAGAGAGAGGGATGATTTCAGCAAAAAAGCGAAAGGGGTCTCATGGCAACACCCATTCCTCTAAAGCCGGTCAAATAGGAAAACAGAGGTCTGTACAAGAAGAGAAGATTAAACCACCGGTACACGACCCAAGCTTTGCAGAAAAGAAACTCAAAGCCACCGCTGAAAAAGACAAGGCTGGTGCGCCAACGCGCCGTTGATAAAATTCATCAATGGTCGGCGTCGCGTTTCGGGCCTCCAAAACTCACGGAGGCGCCCGCGGCCAATCTACGACCGTGTACTGGTGGTTTAAGACAGAAGATGGAATATCGGACAGCGCACAGCCCTCTAAAGTTGGTCAAATACAAGGACACCGGTCTGTGAGAGGAGAGTCTGTAATAGTGGAACTGAGATCTATAACTGGGAATATAGTAACCATGCCCACCTTCTAAACCTCACTACACTTCTCTAACCTACCGTCTTCACCCGAATAGAACGCCCGGTCATTATAGCTGTATTTGGCACAACTTTCGGTCCAGCGATAATGACCGGGCGTTCTATTCGGGTGAAGACGGTAGGTTAGCCTGAAGAATGGTTTCCGTCGACGTGCAACCATGCGTATGTTTGACAGAGACAGAAAGAGAGCGAGACCAAGACAGCAAAGGAGATCAGAGAATGACAGTAGGAGAGAGAGAGAGAGAGAGAGAGAGAGAGAGAGAGAGCAGGAGCAGGAGAGCATGTAGGAGAAATAAAGAGATTAAGTGAGAGACAGCAGGAGGGAGAAAAAAACACCTTCACGTGGGAGTTTCTGCAAGAACCTTGTAGTCACAACTGGCTTAGGAAGGAAAACAAAAAAGGGCTGGAAGTAGGCCACTCCCACACACTTCCCCTCTGCGCCACCAGGGTCCTGGCATTCCCATTAAGAGTGGCAAGTTTGTTTCCTTTCCCTATGTGGCACTTTTCACAGGTATTTCAGGGGAAGGAGACTGGGGGGGTAGGAGGGGGCCCCATCTGGCCAATAAAACTGCAAACTGTAGTAGAGATCTCGGCCTGTACCAAACCGACCAGCATTTTCAATTTTAAGGAAATGGAACAACCAAAAATATTGGAGACAAGATATGCCTCACCAGCTGTCATGATGAAGTACAGAGGGGCTCAGAGAGCTAACCCACCAATGAAACTTTACCAGCAAACTATGAGAAAGCGAGCTGAGAGATTGTCAGGTGCTTGAGTCAGAAGCTCCCAAATCCAAGGGCGTGGCAACAGTGAAAAGCTTTTTGAGGGGGGGAAAAAAACAACATTTGCGGCCTGTCGGAAGCAGGATTTTGTGTGTGATTGTGAAGAGGGTTATGGACACTTGCCAGCAAAGTCGTGAAATTTGTGGGTCCTCCGGCCTGGCCACAGAGTTCCTTCAAATTTCATAATTCCATTAAAAGAGGGCTGGGATCGACTTTGGCAGTAATCACTTGTCTTTTTCCTGTGTGGCAGGGCCGAATGGCTCAAAAAGTGGTGGTGGAGGTGGAGGGGGAGGGGGGGGGGGGGCAGCAGAAAGAAACAAAGGGGGTTCTCAACGTCTAGGGTCTGTCAGATTTGTTCGGAAACCCTCTATGCATCACGAGTTTCTCTGTTCTTGGTTGCTTTTCTGAAGTTTTCTTTCAATGTTCAAAGCCAGGAGGGAAGGGGAGGGGAGGGGAGGGGAGTGGAGGGCCGGGGGTGGAGGGGTCCTTATACTTCCAGACCCACCATGTCTTGTCCACCAGATCAGTCAGATCCCTTGGCAAGACTGGACCGTTGATCCCAAGGTGATTGGATACTACAGGTAGTCCCTCAACTTTTTATGGCACAAACCCCTTACTTTGCTGCAGCACATTAAAGGATATAACAACTCAGACGCTCACGCTAAGACAGCCTACGCTGCATCTGGCCGTAATTGCACTCAAGTGCATTCAGACGAGACCCAGCATTGGGACACCCTTATTCTCAATCCTCAGACATACTCACACTATGCACTTTTTCTACTTAATTTGGACAAAATGGGGAACATTCAGTCCGAAATTCCTGGTGCGAGTATGGCCTAAGGGCAAGCTCGCACTAACAATGGCATTAAGGAATGCTTGACTGAGCTGCCAAGAACTACCGTGAGCTATACACCCTGCAAAACTCCTAAATCCACAATTGCAGTCATTCACAATGGGTCTCACCATTCTAAGCACGAAACGAGCGCAAAACATTTCATGCCGTTTCTTCATGGCCTCACTACCATCATTCTACTATATTGTGAACTAACGTTCGCGGATTGAAAGAAGGGTGTCAGTGTAGTGAGTCATGTGCTGCTCAAG